AGATGACATGGCCTTTCACCCATGACCCATGTCTAAAAGGGTTAAAACTCACTTCATCGTGCGTGTATCAATACTTAACCTTACCACAACCAGGCACATCCACACCTTCAATAGGACGAGGAATTTCAAGACTCTTAACCACTCCGTACTTGTTACATTCTTCTCTAATATCGTCCAAAATATCTATTTCAAAGTACAATATATAATTTTATGAAGGTAAAACACCAATCACACCCTTAATTTCAGAAATATACATAGAATAGCCATCCATTATCTTTTGTAGTTGCACATACTTATAATTCAATGACACCAAATATGAATATCCAATTACTAAAAAGTTACTTAGTACCAAAAGCACTTTAAAAACACTTCTTACCAACTTGTAACACCTTAGTGCATATCACGTACTACCATAAAAAATTCACGTGCATCAAATACATGTTCTTTCAAGGCACATAACACTGAAATGTCATTGTTCCTAGGCACATAACAATGAAATGTGTACCTTACGATATATCGGTGTTATAAATTACAAGAAGAGATGGAAGAAAGTGAAAAGATACACATTTATACATGAAAGATATCTAATCCTAAATTAATTCTCTTCAATATTTTCTAGTTTATTTTCTGTTCTTTACATATAACCATGCAATGACAATTCCACTAAAAAATATACTTTTTGTTCTAAATTTAATGAAAAGTGGTTCTTTAATAAAAAATATTTATGTCATTATGAATTTATTTTGACTCAAAAGGATAATGACCATAGTTTTTTTTATTGTTTTTCATTAGGTGTATGAAACAGGGCTCGATTTTAAGGAAATTTCCAGATTATCTAAAAAAAAAAAAACAGGCCCTCCAAATATATCCAATTATGACAGTATTGATGTATAAAAACCCAGTTACTAGAATTTTGATACCTTATTTATTTCTAACAAGTACAATTAATGTTTAGTTGGTAATTTTGCACATTTATTCAACAATTTTTGATGCCTTATTTCCTGGAAAGTTTTGTTACATTGGAAAAAATAAACCCAAACCATGCTAATGTTACACAGTATCTTAAGAAAACAAACAGACAATGACCTGTAAAACTTTTAAACAGAACAGCGATCTCGGCCAATCACGTTCAAGGTTTTCATTCTAACCAGCTTGGCCTACCCACCAATTACAGTTAAGTACAGCCTAGAGTAAGACTAGACTTACATCGGAACTCTCACACATACTACTATACCGTAATATATACACAATTCCTGAGCACTGCACATGTACACACACTACTGCTATATATTATCATTCATACTTGTAGTTTGTATGGACTTGGACAGAGACAAAGCTAGACTTATTTTATTTATTGTTATTCTGTTTTGTACAGATCAAACTTTCATAAAGTTTTGTTTGCAGTTATCATTATTACGTTCTCTTTAATTCGTGGATTTTCCTACTTTTCTCATACTGGCTAGGTCTTCCATATTTCCTAGACACGATTGGTCACGTCTGTCTACCATTAGCCTTAAGCCTATACATGCGTAATCGAAAATTTCTGCACGTCCTCCTGCCCATGTAGATTCATACAAACAATGTGCTGTAATAGTTTCATTTTGAGTTTACTTACTGAATAAGTTAATATATATTTTATTTGTTTTACATTTGTTGAATATTGATTTAAATACTAAACGTTTTTTTACTATTAAAACTTATGTACTTGAGAATGATCACACCAGTGATTGAAACATGGTGCCTGTTTTAAAAATAAATCTTACTTACTGTAAAAGCTGTAACTTGTACATATATATATAAAAAAAACACACCCACACATAAAAGTGTCGTAATATAACTAACTGAGCTGTATACATTGTATTGTCTCACCACACACACACACAGCCATTCACGCTCAGTTGAACTCCATACAAAATTTACGTGCAGTTTGTCCATAACAGAAAGTTTAGCGTTAAAACAGCATTATTAGCAAATCAAAAAAAGTAAACTTTTCCTAGCATTTTCAACCCCTTTTGGTGGATTGTATCAACAATTTCTCTTGTACAAATTACAATCTTTTTAACCCAAAAATGGACAAAAAGATATGTTTGTGGGGGGTAAATTTTTTGAGTCTGTAGTTAGAAAATTTACCGATGATTTTGGTAGAGGATCCAAATCAACATAACGTGTTTAGTGTAGGCATAGATAAATGTCAAGTGAACTGTGATCCTGTTTCGAGTAACAGTGTCTTCCAGGGTGCTAGTCGTCCATCGGACAACATGGGAGTTTAAGTTGGTCATCTCGGATGACCATTAAAATCGAGCCCTGTGAAACCTACAATTTTCTAGTAATTTCTGTACAAATATTTTTTGTAGAACCTTATCACTTTAAGGTTATATAAGCACTACACTTGTTAAATACTAGTCAACCCATAAGGTTCAATTTATGAGTGCTTGTAAATTTAATGACAAAATTATTAGCTCAACATTCAAATTCTAACAATGTTTAGGCTTAGTGAAATTAAAATGGATTACAAGTGTGTTTATGTACACTTAAAAACTAAGATGGTGTTGTAATAAATTAACTTTTATATATCCATGAATTTTATCACCTCGTCGGCATGGATTTAAGAATGATGAGCAAGTAACTGTAGAAAATGTAAATACATACTAAATATTAATTTCTCAGCAACTCTAATTCACTTATTCACCCATTTAAACTATCAAACGACACTTCTTAGCCCTTCATATTTGATTAAGCCTCACAATTGTATAGAACCTTGTGAAAATTAATATGGACTACAGTAAAACTGCCTAACTAACCCTCATACTCTTCTTCGTCTTTGAGTTCATCAGGAGTTACCATGTTCATAAGACACAACACCTCAGTTGGAGGACCTGCCCCACCAGAAAGTTGAAGACCAGGTACTTGGATCTGCACTGGAGCCTGATAGGAGAATCCAAGCAAAACATGGGTATTAAACTACAGGATTAAATTCAGACTAGAAAAACTTCACTAATATTTAAATAAGAGTAATTAGTATGTTAAGATAGTTACAATTTTCTTTTTTCTACATATTTCGGGAATACAGACCTAAAAAAACAAAAATTACCCCTTACACATACAACATAAGACAGACAACAATTTTTATTACATCATTGATACATCTTTAAAAAAAACAGCATTTCTTATTGCATTTAAGTTGTGCTTGACTCAGAAAAATATCCAAATAATAACTATATAACCATCTGTCAAATGTTCTACACTGGTAAAATAAACAATTTTTTTATTTGTTACATCCATAAACTAAAAACGTGCGTTCACTTGTCTCTAAATTTTACTAATTTTTTTCTCTTTCTCCTACCACAAAAGAGATACTCTGAAGCAAGTAATAAATCAAACTTTATCTTATATAGAAGCTGTAACAGCTATAATTTCTCCATAAAATTATTTTATAGTACTATTGCTAATTCAAAATACAAAAAAAATCTACTTATATAAATGAAGCCGACTGAAACTGTCTTATACACGATAAAGATATTTTTAAAAATAACATATACTTTCTTACTTACAGTTTTAGTACAAAATTAAATATTTTCAGACACAAGTTTTTACATATTTTTTAACTTTGGCATGTACAGATGTATGATACACAATGTTATCATTACAAATATTTTTTTAATACATTTATAAAAGTGTACAGTATTCAGTAAGTTAAAAACAGAAGGCTTGGATATGATTAAAACACAGTGAAGGTGATTTGATACTTTTAATACAAGCTGTGTGAATTTTGATAAAAAAATAAAATATTTAAAACTTTATATATGTTCAGAAACTTTGTAGCAAGTAATAACAGCCTCTGTAAAGTTACTATAAAGCTAAGATATACTTAACAGGTTAATTTTAAGTACCAAGTTGGATGTATCAAGCTGAGCAGAGGTACTAAAGCTACACTGAATCTAGTCAGTGGGTTAATGTGATTTAAAACAATCCCTTTAGTACTTGTACAGACCACAAAACCTTTGTAACTTACTGCCATAGTACTGTTCCTAGCTCCTACACTGGCTCTCTGTACAATTAGTTTCTTGTCTCCTAACTGCATGCCATTCAATCCAGCTATAGCCTAGAATAAAATATTATAAACACTATAGACTTCTGCCATTTTTATTGATTTCAAGATCAAGTTTCTCAAGCACACTTTATATGTAAAACAAACACACATATAACTCTGGAAAATTGAGCTCTTCTCTCACAATCAATTGTTGTACTGACTAACAAGTACAAATTACTTACTTGGCCTTTTTTTGGGAAACATATTGTACCAACTGACACATCAAAATAAAACGAAGTTTAGCACTCGTGCCTAGCACCCAGTTAACAGTATATCATGGTTTAACTTTCTTAGCACTGATGATAGATAGAGATGAGTTGACTGTCACACATGTTAGACATTAAAATATTTCTTACAGATGTTGCCATTTTTAACTGTCAGTCCACTCTCAATACAGACAATAGGATTTCAACTGGATTTCTTTTAACACAAAAGATGACCATTGCTGTGATATAATTCTTCATAATCTAATGACATTTTTCAAATACCCTCTATTTGCATGTCAAACACTGATCATTAAAGCCAGGCAGAATGGCTTACCTAGTTACACCTACCATCAAAGAACAAAAACAAGCTAATTAAAAAACAATTATACAGTCCCTTCAAAGCTTACTCCCACCTTAATAACTCAGCTTACGAGAAAAACTACCTTGCAAACTCAGTGGACACTATCCCTAAACAATGACAGTATCTGTCAAGACCCAATCAGTATAAAGAAACTTATTTTCTCACATGCCGTATAAACTACCGTTCAAGATTAGCAGTTACTAGAAACTTTTATTCATCACATTCCCATTCGTAATATTCTGGAACGATATTCTATAGATGTTAACGTTATTCAAACCTATATTAATCACGTTATGTGACGACACAGAACAGTAAAGCTTATATCAATTATGAAAGTTAAATTTTTCTTATTATTTTACAATAATTTACATAATAATAAAACTGAACAACTATACTTTTAAAATAAAGGATGCTTCTCATTTCTAAGTTCTAATACGTACTTTTAATATACATTTTAAGAAAACACAGTCATATTATTAATTTGCTTTCTTTTATACAACAAGAGACAAAATAAAATGTGATAGTTTTTTTATTAATTCTTTACCTATACATGATGATGAAATTTTATTATATATGCATTTTTAAATCCAGTTTTTAATGATTAGTCTATTTCTAATTACTGGCTTTTTTATATACTATTCACTATGGATAGGCTCTCTTCATTGCAACGTGTCGAGTAATTTTATGCTTTTTTACCTATTACAACATAACTGACCAAAGAAAGTGAATGGAATCACTATAAGAATTAACTGAAATACTGATGGTATTTTTTATTTACTTTTATTTTTTTTGCATAAGTCACATTATTAGAGAGCTGTAACCATTAAAATCACGGATCCAGAAGCAAATTGACACATAAACAGATTAGAAAAATATATTTAAAAGTCAGTGGTGTTATCCTAGAGGTAAAATGAACCAAATGAACAGAACAAAAGTATACAAAATGTTCTGGCTTTGTCCAAACTTATATCTGATAGAGTGAAAGATATCAGATGTTGAGTGATAAACATGGATCCACGTAGGATTCATTTTTAGTAAATATTTTAATACTTTTTCTTTTCAGTCAAACTGAAAAGCTTTGAAAAATAACTTTTTAATAGGCATGGATACAAATTATTACCAAAGGCTTTTCTCTTACCTGATCAGTGAGATTTATATCAAAATATTCACAGAATGCATAACCTTTAGAAAGTCCTGTTGCACTGTCCTTTACCAGATTGAAAGCTCTCAGCTGACCAAAAGACATTAGTAATTCTTTCACCTAAAAACACCATAAAGTAACACAAAATTAGTCAATAACATTCATAATTATTGTAATTTTATCTTTTCTAATACTAGCTGGAGTATAGGATAGGTAAAATAAAAAAATCATTTATGACAAGGGATGGAATTGTGCTTCTATTTTTTTTCTTAACATAATAAACATTAAAAGTGCAATAAAAACACATAAAGGTACCAATACTGAAAAGAAAACCACTCTTGTCAAGAATTCTATCAATATGAAATTAGATGGGGGGGTTCTAGCCCCCCCTCTTGTCATCCTGTATCACTATGTCAGGTTATGCTGATTTGGTAGCATTTCTAAAATTAGATAGGAGATCCAACATAAATGAATCAAATTAAAAACAACTGCATCAAAAACCACTAAAATGAAACTTTTTTGGGATAAAATAAATATTAGTTGGAAGCAGTGTATCAATTGTTTTTGTGGTTAGCTTGCTGGGCTGAGGATCTGATGGTTTAAATTGTGCTATATTGCTGATCTTCACACTTTCACCTGTGAGGATGACAGTTAATGCCAATATCCAGTTAAAAGTAGCAGCATGGGTGGCAGGTGCTTCAGGCTAGTTATCGTCCCTCTGGTGAGCAGTTTTAGAATAAGGGATGACTAAATCTGAACAGTAAAGTTTTAAAAAAAGTGTAGAAAATATAAAAACTTTACTTCTTAGCTGAAACTGTTTAAGCCACAAGTTCCATGTGGTGCCAATTCCAAATGAAAAGAGCAAAATATCAGAATTGTTTTTACAATCCTAAAAATTTTAATATAAAAAGTAGGCTTAGTTTGAAATGTGGTATAATGAGCCTCGGCTATATATATAAAAGCTTATATTCTAAATTTTTTTGTTCACACTTTGGAATATATTAATCTAAACAATTAAATCATTACAAAGCCCTTAATGTTCAAGCAATTTTTTTCTACTTCAATTAACAGCTAATTGAGCATATTTATGTCATCACCGAGATTTCATAATCATTTCTCTTTTATTAACAGTATTAAACTGTCGATAAGAAATCAAGGTTACCAATATAACCATCTGTGATTATGGCTACCTAATCAGTACTTTCAAATCTTAAGGGTTTATATTCCTCACATTTAACTCTGTGTGTGTGTGTTTGTATTTACTTTTACTGTTTAAACACATCTTGAAATATAACTCGTATCACGATTAAGTCACTCATACAGCAATAATGAGAAAAATTACATTTTATAAATATTACTTTTACTTGATCCTGTATTTATGATTTACTCGGAAGAACCTAGCTCTTAAGAGGGAAGATCTCTTAAGTAGGGGAGAAAAGCAAGTATATTTCAATGATGTAATAACCTATATATTGTAACATATATTGTGACTGAACTCAACACAAAAAATATTTTACACAAACACATTCAAGAATAATACTTCGTGATATATGGGAATTTACTATTTCTACTGCCAAAAGTCCTTAAGAACTGTCTTCAGGTTAATATTTCTTTCAACAGAATAATCATTTGATATATTTACATTAAACATGCTAAAACCAAATACTGTTTTAAATATTTATTTTATTATTATTTCAAAGTTCACTGATACTTCTTAAAAAAGAAAAAGTTTTTAATGCTGTATATTTTAGTTAGTGATGCTTCAATAATAATCCTGCAGGTGCTTTTGTCTAGAGAGAACCTCTAAAATCTACAAATGGTCACAATATAAACGGCATGCCTACATATTATTTCTTTCCTAAACAACATGTATTCTCTATTTCCAAAAGCACACGTTACCTGGTCTTCATTCAAATAAGAGGGCAGACCACCAACAAAAATCTTATGTGGGGAGTCTTGTACTACAGTTGACACGACGCCTGTGTCAAAAAAAATCAAAACACTTAATGATATACAATCACAGATTAAAGTGCATAACACACTGTGATTTTCAAAGAGTACTAAAAAATTCGAAAAGAAATTCTGACATGGTACTTAATCTCGCTTTAAAAATTAAAATTGATCAGTCATTCAGTTATGATTTACCTGCAATTATACTAAGTCTTTTAATAACTTAAACAAAAAACAGTCATCATGTTCCAGCTAATTTAACTTACATTGAATAAGACACAAGATGGATAAAAATTATTAATGGAAAAATATTTTAAAAATCTGTTATTTCCTTTGTTTCAATTTTGGAATTTTATGCAATCATTACCATTCCATTAATGCAAAGTTCAAAATTTGTACGATTTTGACTGAAACAAACTTTAAATAAAAAGCTTAAAAACTATAATAAGGAAAAAAATGTCATTATTCACAAAATAATAGAACTTTAAAAAATGGTTTGGTTTAGTTCTTTCACACCCAGTCTAGTGATATGTTCCCATTTCCTTTAGACTATCTATAAAATAAAAAACATATTTGAAACAAAATTTGTCATTCTTAAAATCACTCAAACTTCAGTCATGTTTGTAAAAAGAATGTAGAAACAATAAAAACTTTAATTCCAAGCTGCACTTATTCAAGTTTCAAAAACCTATTGTTTTTACCACTCACTAGAGAATAAGTATTCTTACATCCTAGTGTAATAAAATGTCAACTGTCACTTTTACAATGCAAATCTGATATTCCTAGTGTAATAAAATGTCAACTGTAACTTTTACAATGCAAATCTGATATTCCTAGTGTAATAAAATGTCAA